TGCCCAGGGTAAAAACCTAGACGGTACTGAGCAGTGCAACCTTGTTCTGTCTGGAGAGAGAAGTTGTGCACATAATCTAATCCTCCCCTGACTGCACTTACAACAAATATCTCTTTAATAAGTGGCAAAAGCATTGGTGTCTAAGCCAATCAGTCAAACCACAACAGATGCCTTTCTTTCTTTCTTTCTTTCTTTCTTTCTTTCTTTCTTTCTTTCTTTCTTTCTTTCTTTCTTTCTTTCTTTCTCTTTTGATTTACGTACGAAGCTTTTAACAGGTTTACAGAGCCACATACACATCAGAGACAAAACAATAATCAGTACAATGCGCTTTTGGACCAAAAAACATTATACCATAACATAATTGTCAGAGCTCTCTATGTAACTGTGTTACCACACTACAGTGGATAACAACTGGACGTGTTGTGTCTGGTGATCAAATACCTGATTTCTATTTCCATCTTTGCCACTGACAAGGTTGTGCAATCTGGGCAAGTTGCTTAGGAGCAAATTTTCAAAATAGCTGTTTCTGTTTAGACACCGAAAAGAATGGACAAATTTTCATGAGGTCGACGCATTGGGAGCAGGGTACTTTTGAAGATGTGGCCCATAAAGTCTCTGTTTCCATTTGCAAAATGGAGATAATGCAGCTGGGTATTGTGATGTTCAGTTGAAGTTTAGGTGCTGAGCTTTATTATATATTGTGGCAGACGCAGGGCAGCTGGCTACAGTAGCTTGGTGGAGGGCAAATATACAGGAAACCGGTTTTCTTAGTATAGTTTTGTATTTCCTGAGTGAACTGGCCAGGCAGTGCTGCCATGTAGTCAAGGCAGGCAGGCATCTTGGGCCAATTAAGTGCTTGCCTGAAGCAGCAGGCAGGAGAAGCCAGTTAAGGCCTGCTGGGGCCAGTTTAAAAGGCTTCTTCTTTGGAAGGGCAGGGGAGAAGGCCAAGAGCTGAGTGGGAAGAGGTGCACTGAGAGCGCTAGGGGCTGGGAGTGTGGAAGCGGGCAGTGGAGGAGCAGGAAAGATTGCTCAGATAAAAGGGGGAAGGTACTAGGAGGGATCATTTGGGGAAATGGCCCAGGGAAAGGCTGAAAAACCAGGAGTGGAGGAAATGCTACCAGTTGCCACTACCTTAGAGTCCCTGGCCTGGAACCCAGAGTAATGGGCGGGCCTGTTCCTCCCTCCTCCCCCAACGCTTCCCATGCCACTATAGAATCTGCCCCTGAGAAGGGGGACCAGGCTTACAAAGGGGTTTCACTCCATATGGTGAGAATGGCCCAGAAGGCTGTGACCCTTGTCTCCAGTAAAGGGGCAGAGACTGTGTGGAGGGTCACTGCAAGCCTCTGAGGCAAACACTAACCACCAGGAAGCACAGGACCCTTGGGACATGGCTAGAGATTTGCCACAATATGGATTAAATTAGCCATTTAAATAATGAGCTGTACCTCCCCTCACAACTGCTGAACAACAGAGATATGTTATTCACCTGCTCCATGGGCCTTGTGAACCATGGAGGAGAATGGAAGCAGGCCTGGGACCTGTATGACCGAGCTGTTCTTGATCTACGTTGAATTCTTTGCTATGTGGAATTCATGGATGGAGTAGTGTCTAGCTATGCCAAGAGAAGCAGGCTCTGGGTCCAAATGTAAACCAGCAATGTCAAGAGAGCTCCTGGGGGCACAATCAGACAAGAGATGAAATCTGAGGAGCAGACAGCTCCTCACGAAGCAAATGAGAGTGAAGTGCATGCAGAGGCGAAGACAATGGACTTCAGAAAAGGGCAGCACATGGTTGTTTCGCTTCCCTGTTACATTAGTTAGTGCTGTGTCCGTCTTAGTTTTCAATATGTCAAACCATTTGCCTGCCACCACTTCCCTGGGGACACAGTTCTGCAATTCAGTCGCCCTCTGCATTAGGAAAGAAAGGAGGGCAGACCCAGATGGACCAAGCTCTAGCAGGCAATTGTTTATTCCCAGCCTGTGGAGGATTGAATAGGCCTGTTAATGAGAAGGGGATACGGGTGTCTTAGACACAGCCTGAGCAGGGTCCCAGTTCAACAATTCAGTAAGAGCTTAAGTGCTTTGCTGAATTGGAGCCTAGATACCAAGGGTCAGGGAGCATCATTGGGTCATCCTGCTGCAGTTGTCCCAATTGGCTTTTCTCTGCCAATAGCCTTGCCTATAGTCTTTCAGGAAAGTCTGCCATTGCTCAGAACCATCAGTGAAGTTGTGCCAGAGGTCTCAATGATGGGAGTATCCATGTGGACAAGCCACCAGTGTTCACACTGAAGATGAGGGAGCTTTCCTGGAGGAGACTAAGGATATGTCTACACTACCACCCTAGTTCGATGCAGGCCAACAAAGGTGGGAGGAATTACAAGCCCATCCAGCTCCTATAGCTGTGAGGTGCACTGTTCAATGCCTATCTCAGTTCTGCAGTGGGTGATGGGAGGGAACAGCGCCGGGAGTTCGTTGGCTGAGAACATACGGAATTGTCCTTTTTTTAGGTAGGGGAGCAGTTTGGGCCTGCGGGTAAGAGATTAGATTTGGATTCAGGAGATGGGAGTGCTAGTCTTTGCTCTGCCACTAGCTGGCTGAGTGACTGTGAGCAAATGTGTGCCTCAGTTTCCCATCTGTAAAACACAGAGTGATTCCTCTCTTCCTTTGTCAAGTGCTTTGAGATCTGTAAGTGAAAAGCATGGTGCAAGGAGTTATTTAGAGTATCTCCAAGTTGATTTCTGTTAATGAGCAGTCTTGTGAAATCTATAAAAGTCTAATAACTTACTAGTCTTGTTTCCACTAGTAAGTAAACCAGCCAGCTTACTTTCAAATTGTGCCTGCTTTATGCTGTCATCTGCAGCATGACATGAAATTCATGAGTGAAAATTGTCCAACTTGGTTTCCAAAAATGTCCACAAACCCCGATGACAGGAAATGATGCAGGAGATAATCTCTACTGCATGCTACTATGATATAATCTATTTTGCAATAACATCTGGAGGTGTGGTGTGTGTGTGCGGGAGGGAGATATGCTTACAGTCATTTGCAAATCTCTGAAGGATCAAGAGTAGGTGTTTGTGTAGGGTGTTCACACACTTTCGAGAATTCTACATGTAATTGCGGTAGAATGTTAACATGCATATCGTCTGTTATAGTTGGCTAAAGTGGTTAGTTAAAACTGTATTGTTTTATTTTAAATCCATAGACAACTGCTTCAGCTACTAGCTGTTCAGTAGGACTTATGCACTCCAAAACAATGGGGCAAGTCCCTTTTTAACCACAGAAAGTGCTGGAATAAGTAGATTGGCACATTCATTTTTGTCATACAAAACAAACACATGTTGGGTCTAGGGATGTTAAGCCGTAAGCATCACCTTTACTGAGTGATGCTTACCAGCTATAGTTAACCAACATGAGCAGAGAAGCCCACCACGCTGAGGGTGGGGGGGCGCTAACGCCTGGCCGGAGCAGCCCACACCCGTAGGGTAGGGGAGGGCCTGCTACCCCCACCCCCATTTAAGCGGTTAACTGGTTTAGTATAATGTTTAACTGGTTAACCGATTAAATGGGATTTTACATCCCTAGTTGGGCCTTGGGCACACCTCATGCCAACACTTTACTTAAAATGCTCTTCATTGTGTGACAGACAGGTGAGTGGTACAGCACTGGGGGGCAAAGGGGACAGTTGCCTGAGGGCCCGATAATTCCTAGGGCCCAGGGCTCCCGGCCAACGCTGGCAGCAGCAGTGGCTGAAGCCCCGGTCTCTTTTCAATCACCTCCATGCAGCACTAAGGGCTGGAGAGCTAGCACCACGCTCAGGGCTGAGGGGGGCTGGCGTGGTGCACTTCGGGAGGTGCTGAGAGGTGGTTGCCCTGGCCCCGCACCTTCCGCCTTAGACCCTACCCCTTCTTGGAGCGCAGAGCTGCCCATCCCCCCACCTTGCATGGGGGCCTGGGAAGTCTGTCGGCACCTCTGTACAGCAGTAAGGGCTCCAGGAAACAAGGTGGTGAGAGCTTGGGCCTTAAGTATGTTCTTCACATGAAGCACACGCGTTGTCCCATGGACTTGGGTGCTTAAAATGACATGTGCTCAAGGGCTTTTCTAGCTCTGGCAGAGTTCTCAGCACTTTGCAGGATCTAGTCCCAGTATACTCTTTCATCATGGTTAATTGGGCCCATATCTCCTTCAGTGGAGAAGGGAACAGGAAGTCTTGTCTTGAGTACCTTTGAGGTAATAGATCATCTCAAATCAGGACACAAAAGGAGACTTATCGGAAAGGTTTTTACTGTCAGGAGAGATCGCTTTAGGCTTGATAAGAGCATTGCGGCTGTGAAATGAGGGTAAATTAGTGACATCCCAGGCATTGGCAATAACTGCTTTATATTTAAAGCACTACTTAGTTCAGAGGTGGGCAGCCTGTAGCCAGAGAGCTGCATGTGGCTCGTTGGAGTTCTGTGCATGGCCCACAAGACATTTTGTTTATTGTTGCCCACACATGCACAGGGTTGCCAGATTCTGCTGGTTTTCGTATGCATAGGGGTTGGTTTTTTCCTACCAGTATTACTAAAGTTACGCACACTTAAAGCCAGGGCACGTGAATTGAGGTGCGTGCTGATTGCACACAACACAGAGTGAGAGAGCCGTGCGCTCCCTCTGCATCCAATCAAAATGCTGATACAGTTTAGTCCACACACCCCACAAATTCTAGGCACGCAAGTACAGTTAGCAAAACTACCCTATCTGGGGAGACTGTCTTGGTTGTAACAATTTTGCCACCTACTGAAGTGATGGAGGACCACTTATACGGCCCAGTTGCTATCTTAGTCACCCCTCACTGACTTAGACGGTAATCTCTATGGGCCTCTGTCATTACAGTGCCTAGCACAATGGGGCCCCTGAGTCAAAAGGTGCCTCCAGATGCTATTCCAGTGCACATTTCATGATAGTGACTCTGGGGTTATGCCAGTAAAGCTTTCTGTGTTTACTTTTGTCTTTCATTAGGTTCTTAGCATGGTAATCAACGCAGCTTACAAGCCAGGGAGCGTTCTCCGAGAACTGCAGCTAGTAGAAGACCCACAGTGGAATTTTCAGGAGGAAACACTCAAGGCAAAGTCAGTATTTCCTTGTGTTACCTGCTCATTCATTTACTTTCCATTTTAAATAAGCGGGGCTGGTTGGGATGTGGGGGGTGGTGGGAACAGACATTTTCATGACATTTTTCATTTAGAGATCTCCCTCCAATCTTTTTTTAAAAATTCTCATTAGTTCTGTAGCTGTTTAAACATTGAAACAACATTTTCTTGAACATTTTGTTTCAGGCTGGTTTTGTTGGGAGCTGGGCAGATTTTGATAAAGTCATAATTTCCAATTTTGATACTTTTCAACCAGTTCTTTCTTAGACACACTTGTCAGGGATGGTCTAGGTCAGGGGTGGGCAAAAGGGCCTTCACGGGCCACATCTGGTCCGTCAAGCAGAATGATCTGACCCACGGAGGCTCTGCCACTTCTCCACCTCCAGGACTATTAGGCTCTGGGGGGTGAAGGGAAATGCATTTTCTCTGCACTGCCAGGAGTGCTAGAAGCGCCGAGTGCTCCTGGCAGGATGGTAGGAGGCTTCACGTGCTCCCCCGCCTCCAAGCCCTGATTGGCCTGGGGGCAGAAAGGGAAGTGTGCACACTCTCCTGCCACTGCCAGGTGTATGGGCACCTAGGGGATATCTTGGGGGGGGGGACTTCACGTGCTCCCCACCTCCAGACCAATCATGGTTTGTAGGTAGGGAAATATGCTGGTCCCTCCCCTTCCGGAATGGCCCCGGGGCCACTTCAAAAATTTCTGAAGTGGCCCCCCCCCGGCAAAAAATTATTGCCCACCCCTGGTCTAGATAATACCTAGTCCTGCCATGAGGGCAGGAGACTGACTTGATGAGCTGTCAAGGTCCCTTCCAGTTCTGTGTTTCTACAATTCTAAATTCTGATTGGAAATCAGACACATTTTTAACAGCTAGTGTGATAAGCCATTGGAGTAAACTACAAAGAGAAATGATGGGTTCTCCATTTCTCTAAGTCTCTAAACTAGGTATGTTTCTGGAAAATGATCTTTATCCAAACATATGTTCCAGGGCTCAATAATAACTAGGTGAAATTCCAAGGCCCGTGTTTTACAAGAGCTCAGACTAGATGATGTAATCATCTCTCTTCACTTTATAATCTTTGCATTTATTCCTGCTTTCTGTAATGGAATCACAGAATAACAGAACTGGAAGGGACCTTGAGAGGTTATCAAGTCCAGTCCCTTGAACTCATGACAGTACCAAACACCATCTAGATGGCAGTGATGTCTAGTATGCCCATCATATACAGACCATACAGAATGTTATGGTACAGATCCCATAAAAACAACTGTTAGATTAAAACCCCAAGTGCTTGCAAACTAAGGACTAGTCTACTCTACTGCATTAGATCAGAACAGCTTCCCTGACACAGTTGCACTGCTGTTGCTGGTCTGGTGAAGACACTGTATGACAGGAGAGTGCTCTTCCATCAGCATAATTACCCCTCCTGAACAAGAGCTGGAAGCTACATGGGTGAGAGAGCTATGTCAGTAGAAGAGCATCTGGAGAGCGCGTTAAGTTAATATAGCTTGCGCCTCTCAGGGGGGTAGATTTTTCACTCTCCTGCACGACATAAGTTCCATCAAATTAAGCAGTCATGTAGACAAGCCCTAAGACTGCTTGGATTTTGGTGTTGTATTTTGCGTTTGCTTGGGCTTCTGCCATTCGAAACCTGGCCTTGTTTCTGTGGAATCTGGCTGAAGAGAATCAAAACCAGTCTCACGAAATCCAACGCCACAGAATCCTGAAGGCGACGCTCTGCGTGAGGTATGACAGCCAGGGCCACTTGTGAATCTTAAAGAGCCCCTCACAGCGAGAATATGTGCCTTTCAACCACGTTTGAAGTACACTGGGCTACAGTGGCATTTTCTAGCAGGCTGCTAATGATGACAGCTCTGCAGCCAGCTGGAATATTCCCGCTCTAGCGTGACACGTCCCGTCACCACCTTCCTTCTGATCTTAAGTGACAAGTCCTTAGATCTTGGCGGTGTTGCTATTTGTCTTAGGGGAGAGGGAGGGGGAGGGAAGGATGTGCCTTGCCACCAGCCTGAAAGCTGAAAGGCTGGCCGCCAGGAATACATTAGCTCAATGGCAAGGCAACCTGCGTTCAGTTTACTCTGCTGTCAGCAGCAACCATCACAGAATGAGTTACAGGAGCCTTGCAAAGAAACGGAGAATGTAGTGTCCTAGAGGAGGCATGCACACAGTGAGATCACAACCTCTCCCTCTCATCAGTATTCCCCCACAACAGCGTGACAAGCTAGAAATGTCGGGCCTGATCCCCTGAGCCGTCCATGCTCAGAGTCCCTGCTGGGGTCACCAGGAGCGCTCAGTCACCCTCATAATCAGGGACACTTATTTCAGTGCCTCAGTCTAGATTGATGTGCTTGGCTTTCGGCCCCCAGACCTGGAAGATGGAACTTGCCCAGCGCCCGAAGTTTCTACTGCTGTAAAGTAGGGCTAATCATGCTTATCTGCCGTCAGACCGTGCTTTGAGATCTGGGGGTGAGAAACGCACAGGTAGGTTCATGGCAGTCAGGTCTAGGGCTAATTTAAACTAGGAACTCAGGAGTGTGGATGCTGGTGAATCAACCCCAGAGGAAAGATGTGCCGTGCATAGCTCTAGCAGCCCATCACAGCTGTAGCAGGCTGTTAATCTGTCCCCAGTTGGTATCTGTGGCTCATTTATGCCACACCACTAGGCTGTGTTGAGTTCCAACGAGAAAGATCCGTTAACAATCGGCCGTGCATGTTCCACACTTACTCCCAGTCTCTCAATACAAAGAGCTCCACTGTGGAGTCACGGGGGGAAAGTGAGAAAAGGGAAATACTTTTTCTGCGCTGTACAGGCTCTTTTCACATGCACTGAAGTTCAAAGACAGCAGCGTAAGGCTGAAACGTTACTATGTGTGGGACTGCAGCATTGCAAGCATCCCAAAAATCCAGTCCCTGCGAGACTATATTCTTGCCAGGTGGGAAGAGCAGGGCCAGGAGATGAAGCTGGGATCCTCCTGGCACTTGAATCCTGCTGCACTCGACTTTCCTCTCTCTCAACTACTTCTCTTCAGCCACTTTGATTCCCTGGCTCCTCGCTTGTGGTGTCACTGTGAAAGTTGTTAAGTTCATACAAAGTATCAGAGGGGTAACTGTGTTATTCTGAATCAGCAAAAACAACGAGAAGTCCTGTGGCACTTTATAGACTAACAGATATATAGGAGCATAAGCTTTTGTGGGCAAAGACCCACTTCGAACAGATTTATAGGAGCATAAGCTTTTGTGGGCAAAGACCCACTTCGACATGCATCTGACGAAGTGGGTCTTTGCCCACAAAAGCTTATGCTCCTATAAATCTGTTTATATGGTGCCACAGGACTTCTTGTTGTTTTTGCAAGTTCTTACAAAGGTCATTGAACCTAAGCCTGAGTCAGCTCAGTACCTTGGAGCTTTGTAGTAGCCAGTTGAATATCAGGAAGAACTTTTGAGTTACCTGAGCAGAGAAGAATAATGATCTTGTGTTTATGAGGCTTGGCAGAGATGCAGAGAAGCTGAGTTCAGTTCTGCCTCTGCTATAGACTTCCTCAGGTGACCTTAGTCTAGCCACTTAGGGTACATCTAAACTACATGGCTCCGTCGACGGAGCCATGTAGATTTGTTGTTTTGGAAAAGTCAAATGAAGCCGCGATTTAAATAATCATGGTTTCATTTAAATTTACACAGCTGCCGCGCTGAGCCGACAAACAGCTGATCAGCTGTTTGTCGGCTCAGCGCGGCAGCCATGTAAATTTAAATGAAGCCGCAATCATTTAAATCGGCTTCATTTGACTTTGCCTATGTGTCTAATCTACATGCCTCTGACAACAGAGGCATGTAGTCTAGACACAGCCTTAGTCTCTCCTTTTGTCAGTTCCCCATCTGTGAAACAAAAGCAATAATCCTTCATCTGTCTCTTCTATGTAGATTGTCAACTCTTCACATCAGGGACTATTTTTCACAATGTGCATGGAGAGCAACTAGCATGGTGGGTGGGTCTTAATCTCCACTGGAGCATCTAGGTATGATTAATATACAATAATAAACATATCAACTGGAATTGTCACCCGAGGAATGTAGTGGAAGCACCATGACATGGTAGAATTAAATCCAGAGGAGAACGACCATTAGTAAATTCACAAGAGGCAACAATCCTGTCTGGGCACTAGAAAGATTTAGTAGATGATAGTAGAAGTAGTTTCTGCACTAATTAGGCCTCAAGTGGAGAACTGTGTCCAGTTCTGGGCACCACATTTCGGGAAAGATGTGGACAAATTTGGAGAAGGTCCAGAGAAGAGCAATAAAAATGATTAAAGGTTGAGAAAACATGAGCTCTGAGGGAAGACTGAAAGAATAGGGCTTGTTTAGTCTGGAAAAGAGAAGACTGAGAGGGGACAAACAGTTTTCAAGTACCTACAACAGGCCCGTATGCAGGAATTTGTGTGTGTGGGGAGGGGAGGGGGCTTTTTATGTAAAAATGGATCCAGGCTTTGCTCCAGGATGTGGGGATAGAAATCAGCCCTAGCCTCCCCCCGGCTGGCTAGAGCATGGGGGAAGGAGGGTTGGGTTGTGCAATGCTCCTGCTTTCCCCAGGCTGGCCCGGAGCATGCTTATTTAGCAGACAATAGGGGAGGTTGCTTTCGCACCCTTCATATACACACCTGGCCTTCATGTATCGGCCTATAAAGAGTTTCTGGAAGTAAACTCCAGGCTTTTGTGTCTGATGATCATCATCACACAGTGTAAGACAGCACAATTAAATAAATTAATACCTTCTATTTGTACAGAACTTCTCATGCCACAACAGCTCAATGCACTATACGGAATACAGGAAAAATATTCTAACCTTGTTCACATCCACATACATCCCATTAAAGCCAATAAATGTACTGCCTGGAGCCAACCATATTTATATAGATGGAGCCTTCTGGGCTTGATCCAGCTGACAATATCCACAGCCTCCTGCGCCAG